TCTTTAGTGCTCATTTTCTCCTTTCATGGGGCCCAAAAAATAGGCAGGTACTACATCACCACACTGTAGATAACATGTGCAATATTAGGGACAATTTTATGATTTAACTACAAGCAAATTTACCATTCTACTAAATAAAAAGTATGAATAAATTATCGGTCAAACATCTTTTATATTTAACTTAATCAAGACAAAGTTTTGTGTCTTTCTACATGCATAAAAAGACCTTTTCATAGTATAGTCTTGATTAATTATTTACTCTAAAACGTTATCCTTCGTCATATAATTGCATACACATAACATATTTTCGGGCTAAATACTAATTATATAGAATAAAATTAAGAAAAAATGGTTAAACCAAACTATTGTATATAACCCCTTGAACTTTTGGGAGTCTCATAGAATCACATGACCTTTAAACTTTCATCACCAGATACCCTATTTGTAACTGGCAAATAATTAAATTGTCTTTGGGACAAAAAGCCACCTCAAATGAGAGAAGGGGATTACGTTTGCATGTGGGGATTACGGCTCTGTTTGGCAAAACTAGCTGAAAGCTGCGAGATTATAGCTGAAAGCTGTCAAGCTAGCTGAAAGCTGTGAAATTGTAGCTGAAAGCTGATAGCTGTGTAGCTAGCTGATTGACTAGAGCTGTTTGGCAAAAGAAGCTGTACAACTAGCTTAAATTTGTTAAATGACTAAAAAGGTCATGCAATATTATTAATATAAAATTAAAATTATTAGGGGCAAAAATGGAAGAAAAAAATTGACAGCTCATTCCCAAAGACAAACACTACTTGAGATAGCTTTCCAAAAGCTACTTGCAAAAGACACAATCTCCAAAATAATCTCCTCCTATTTTTGGTCACCAAACAGCTCTACTAGCTTATTGACCAAATCAATAAGACACAAGCTCTTAGATAAGATACTTTTTTTGGTTGCCAAACAGAACCTACGTTTATCATGCAAATGACTAGATCAGAATTTTTTTCTCTTAAGAATATTTTTGTAATCTACCAATTACAGATATGGAGGCTAATGATTGTTTAAAGTTTAGAGGCTTATGAGACACCCTGAAGTACAGAAGGTTTCTAAGATTAAAAAAAAAAGTTCAATAGATTGTGGGCAAAAGCCTAAAGTTTAGAGGGTTTTTAGAATTGAACCCTAATTATATATGTGATTTTTATATAATTTTGTTTTGTTGAGAAGAAGAGGAAAAGGGAGAGGAAAGATGAAAAAAATAGTTGTATTTTAATTTTAATTTTAATTTTTTCCTTCATATAATAGCTTTCCATTTGAAGTATAACGACACCTACTTCATACTGGACACGTCATTACTTGGTAGTTGGTTCTAATTTCAGCAAAACAAGATGGTGCTTTCTCAGAATGGATTATGTGTATGCACACACCCAAAATCTTCCATATTTACAAGTTTACTCGTTAGATATTCATAATTGCAAATTGACCTACAAATCTTGTATAAGAAATTATACTTATTTATTTATTTATTTTTATTTATTTTTGACAAGGGAACTTTCTGATGATTCTTCGGACCATGAATATCAAACCTCCAGGGCGTGGCTAAGGGGTACCCCCAATGCACGACCTCAAATATTTTAGGAAATTAATTTCATATGGATGCACCCTCAAAGAGTTAAACCTGAGATCTTGACCTACTACTCATAGGCAACTTATTAACTCGGTCAGAACCTCTTCAGTGAAATTATACTTATCTTGCATAATTACTTTTGCTCATCTCGTATAACAATATGTACGTATCTTATACAATCACTTGACGTGTATAAATAGAATATCACATGCTTGTCATTATTAATGTCAGTAGCACAAATATGCTCATATTCGAATATGATTGTACAGCTCCAATTTGCTGCCTAATTTTTTTTTCTTTTTTTTTTTTTGGGGGGGGGGG